ATGCCATTCGGTCACCCCAATTATTAATGACATTTTGGACTACCTCGGCGCCAATTTCACTCAAAACAGTCGTAATATTGTTTTTCAAAGCTGGAATTGTCTCTGGATTATCCGCATAACATCGGTCTTTAACGGCACCCCACAGGAAAAAGTCCAGCGGTGTCAAATCACCAATTTGCGTATAGCTCCTTCGGTGGGTGCTCTATCACGACCCATATTTCTTTTCAAAATTCGTACAGTTTCGGCGACACAGCACTGACTTTGAAAATAAGTTTTTAAAATTTCAAAACGCTCTTCAAGAGAAAACATGTTGTTTCGTGCCGCGGACGGTATGAACTAATAAACTGTCAAAATTTCGGGTCTGTAGCTCGTTCGGTGTTGCCATACGACGAAATTCAAAAACGTACCAATAGATGGCCCACCCTATACTTATCTAAAGCATCATGTTGATAAAGAATCTGAAGAATTTAATATTTTTTTTATCCTTCTGATTTAATATTACATAATGAGTGCTTAAATAATTGATAATAAGACTGATATAGCTTTTAAAATGTTATTTATTTTTATACAATTACTATAATACTATTACGTATAATAAATATCTCAATATTAAAATATGAATACTTATTTTAAATAAAATTTATCATATTAAATATATAAAGAAAAAGAATATATAAAGAAATTATTTTAGATTCTGATATCATTTTCTTGTTATACAGAAATAAAAAATTAATGAATCAATGACAGTATATCAAATACATTTTTAAAAAATTTTTTTTCTTATAAAAAAAAGACTGCAAGTCGACTGGTCCCATCGAGGACATCACAACGATATGCATAATCGCGCGATAACTGGCGCACGATAATTGACGTTGTTCTGTTTTTCCGGCGCGATAAGAATTTCAAAGTGCGAGATAAGAGAATTTCTTGCCTATGAAACTGGTTGGTGACTCAAATTCTCGAGTATTTACGTGCGAACGAAACAGTTTTCATTTGCAAAGTATGCAAAAATAAAAATCACGATTAATTGTAAGGAGGATTATGATTATGTGTATGTGAAAGAGAAGTTATCGTGAAAAATCTCCGTTAGAGGATATGTCAATTATAATTCATCATTTTTCTGTGTGCTATAATCGAGTAAAAGAGAAGCCTCTTTATTATAATACTGTTATTATACACAGAAAAATGACTCACTATAATTAATATGTCCTCCAACGATGAAAACTGAAATAAAAAGGTCAATTTTCTGTGGCTGAACTAGTGTACACTTTTGGAACAGAAAGTGAAATAGTTATATGTTCGACGTTTGTTGAAAGCGAGAAAGAGAGTTCGAGTGCAGGAATAGAAAACAGACCAATAGCGTCTTGCTCGGAGCCATAGTTGACAGATGGCGCTTTTTTTCACGTGGGTGATCAAATTATGAAGAAATTTTAATTGTTGACACGTAAGATGCTTTTGCTGCTTTAATTTCCGTTAATTTAACACATCACTTCCAATTTGCTCATTGCACCGTGTTTGAGAAAAGAAACAGGAAATAGAATTTTAATTATAAATTATGCGAAATTTATTTGTTAAGATATAGTATAATTTCTTATATATATTTCCATACATATTTTCAAGTTATGTATTGTTACGTCTCTCCAATGAAAACTGTATATATTTATAGATTAAACTTTATTTTAGACATATAAATATATATACTTTTTCATATATTTTTTGATTAATTTATACATATAGACACTTTTTTATAAAGTTTTATTACTGAAATTCAAAATTATAACATTTTATTATATTTTCTTAATTATTTTAGAAATAATAATTATTAAATTTTTAATTATTTTTAAATTATTAAATTCTAAAAAAACAATATTTTGCGTAATAATATTGCGTAAAATGATCTTGTGTTTAAGTATAAAAAATTCTAAATTAAATTTTTGTCTTTATAATTTGCTTTTTTTTACTTTTATTATTTTATATATGTATACATATATAAAATAATACAATGTATACATATATATACATATGTATGTGTTGTGTATTACCGATAACTAACAGTGATTTATAAAATCTTTTTAATTAATTTATTATAACAAATGATACATGAAACTATTTATGATTTACAGAGAATTCCAAACTGTTCTGTTAAAAATTCACAACCTCTGAAAGAATTTGTTGGTCGCTGCCAAACTATGCCATCACGAGTGAAGAAATCATTTTGCGGATGTCTCCAAGTAAGAGTCTAAGTATGATTCATATGCAAACAAATACAATCATCGATGAAATAAAGAGAAAAGATACTAAATCATTTATGTCTACTAGATTATGTCTACTAAACAATGCTTTTTTAATGGATAATAATTTATGACCAATCAAATAAAGAAATATTTCAATTTACATGCACTTGCTTATATAAATAAATGTTAGTTCTTAGAATACATATGTTTATTATTCACATCAGAAATATACATCATTGTTGCTTATTAAAATAAATTTTTTTATGTTACACCCGCTTACATTTTCAATGCCAAAGTTAGCAGAAATTTCATTCTGTAAAAAAATTCCATGTATCTTTTTCGTATGCTACATGCTATGTTTTTTAACATCATTGATATTTGTAAAAAATTACATACCATTTATTTTAGTTTTCATATTGCAGCTTTCTTCCTCTTGTAATTTTTATATGTTTATTTTTGCAGCTTTCTTCCTCTTGTAATTCTTATATGTTTATTTTTGTTAAAGTAAAGAAAATCTTGATATAATTAAGCAATACACTTGGCAAATTTAAAACGTTGAAAACTTGTTTACTTTTGCTACTTTTTTAGTAATACTGCACATTAAAACTGCACACTAATCTTTAAAAAATATGCTTCATGAATGGCGTCTTGCAGTTTCAATCACGAACTTGACATGTCCATCTTGCATGAATATTCAAGGTCTTTAACATCGCAACCACGATGTTGGCTAAAACAAGAAAATCATTTCCTTTAGAAACATGGCATAATCTATAAGTGGTCGTCCTTGGTTTGGCCTGTGATTTGCAGATTCCATTATCTCGATTGATCCTTTGCTTGCACTTCTTTCACATCACAAGGCGTATGAATTAAAAATCTATATGTGCAAATACAATTGTATATTTAGTATTAGGAAAAAATGAATGTGTGAAAAAAGAGAAAGAGAGAGAAAGAGAGAGAGAGAGAGAGAGAGAGAGAGAGAGAGAGAGAAAGAAAGAAAGAATTTTATAACTATTTTTATAGTGGAATCCATCAAAATTAATCTACAGATAAATTAATTGAAACAACATAATTTCTCGATGTCGTGAAGACGACATGCATCTTTTTTCTATACGCCAAAGATATATGTGTAAAAAATTATCGGAATAAAAAACTTTGGATAGAGGATTTATTCGAATATTTATATATATATATATATATATACATGCGCGTGATCTCTTACCGCGACGATCGTGCAAATGATGTTTGTGAAGAATAAATCGACGTCTGAACTCTGGATGTAAATTTCTTAGTCACGTGTGAAAGTATCTTAGGAATCCAATCTTTAAGCCGATCCCCTGACCTTTGCTGCCGTTAGTGAACTATAGTACTTGACTACAGTTCTTGACTGGTTGGTAATAAGAAAAAGCGAGAATGAATTGACAACAGTAAAAACAGTGTCGATAATAGTAAAGATAGACATCGAAATCAGTATGATTGAGTGTTATATAGGCCAATATATATACATTTACCGACAAAAAATCAGGCCACTAACTTTTAGCAAATTTTTAATATTTTCAAATAGCGATAACTCAATGAAGAATCATCGTATTGAAATGAACCACAGCTCAAATTATGCTTGAATATTCCCCTTGATAGAAATTAAATTTGAGTTACACAAAATATAATACAAAATGGCGGACGTTGAAGGATATTAAAAAATAGTTAAAAATATTTCTTTTAACTGTTATACTGCTTAGAGGAATCAGCTGGCACAAAAGTGTATAAATCTTTAAACTTATTGATTTCCAAATTCATATTTTGAATATTCTTCTACGATTTTTTTTTGAAAATTATACCGTTTTAATGAAATTAATGTTACAAAACGGAACAACTTTTTATTAAACTTAGTATAATTTAGAAACAAATTATTGTAATAAACTTTATCAGAAAGGAAATTAAAATGTAAATTTCAAATTTTAATTCTTTTTAATTTTGTTTAAGTGCATGCGTATATACAGGATATCCCATAACGATTAATTAATATTTCAGGAAATGAAATGTTGAACTACAAGGTCCTTTGCCAATTTTGGCTCAGACCATATTTATTATTTTTTTATTGATTTATTGATTTATTTATTTGTTAATATAAAAAATTAAAATAAAGTTTCAATCGGGATAATGCATAGCAAGCGCGAGGGGTCCTATCACATACTATGCTCCTGCATACTCCGGCTGCGTGCTATCTGATTGATCAACTTTAATCGTTAATAACTCGGTAAGTAATAGTCTGAGCCAAAATTGGCAAAGGAACTTTTAGTTCCTTCCAAAATTTCATCTTCGTTTACTCCCTGAAATATTAATTGTTATGAAACAACCTGTATATACATGCGTTTGTCCTGCTCTCGACGTTACTCAGGATTAACGGTGTCGATTAACATTGCAGCAATTTGATCCTGTGCGCGCATGCGTGCGCGCGCGCGTGCGTGCTTGCGTGCGTGCGTGCGTGCGTGCGTGCGTGCGTGCGTGCGTGCGTGCATGTGTGCGTGTCTTTAGTAATGTGAATTGCCTTCTCTCGCATTTATCAATTCGTATATCGTCGGGGCATACTTATACTGTTAGTTAAATGTCTAACTTTTTCTTGTCTCAAATTATGCCATATCTTCTGCACAGCATTGCGAAGGTAATACATATACTAAACACAAAACACACACACGCACACATACACGCACACACACAAGGAATCAGATTCCTACCATGTCGATGCCGTTGATCCCGGATAACGCCGATAGCAAGACATACGTATGTATATGTGCACGCACGCACTTACACAAAATTTAAAAAGTTAAAATTGGAAATTTACACTTTAATTTCTTTTCCGATAAAATTTTCTACAATAATTTAATTTTTTTACTTATTATACTGAGTTTACAAAAATTTATTTTTAAATTATACTGAGTTTTGTGCCTTTGTAATACTTTCTTTAAAACCGTCAAAATTTATAAAAAAAAATTGTAGAAAAATGTTTAAAATATTGATTTGTTTGGAAATCAATGAGCTTAAAGATTCATATACTTTTGTGCTATGCAGCCGATTCCCCTCAGCAGTGTAACAGTAGTTTAAAGAAAAAATTTATCAACTGTATTTTTCGGTCCACCTCCGGTCAACGTGGCCAACGTCCGCCATTTTGTATTACATTTTGTGTAATTCAAATTTGATCTCTATGATCAAGAGGAACGTTCAAGCTTTACTTTGAGCTGTGGTACATCTCGATACGATGATTTTTCATTGAGCTATAATAATTTAAATATAAAATAATTGTGCTAATTTAGTCACCTGTTTTTTATCAGTGAGTACACACACACACACACACACACACCAACCGTTCAAAAGTTTGGAGCACCTTATAATTTTTAGATAATCGTGTTTTTTTTACAGACACAATTATTTTATTGAAAATATCGACATATACATATGAAGGTATACTATTTGAATAGAGTTTAAGTTTAAAACAACAAAAAAATAACATATATATTTAATGTTAGATAGTAAAATTGATTTACCTGTCTATTCATAAAAGAACAAGCAATCTCAGATTTGACTTTGGTTATAGATTTCTTCGTTTGAAGTTGTTTATGTATTCATCCGAAGATCGTTGTTTATTTCTTTCATCTTTTATTAAAACTCATATGTATAAAAAAACAAAGTCTTGTATTCAATACACTAAATGCAATAAACGCATTATATGAAATATGTACCTCATGTCATAATATTTGTAATATATGTAGGAAGATTGTAATTATTATTTACTACATTATTTACTTCATATACATATTTACCATTCTTGTTCCTTAATAAAACTTTATAAACACATTTCATAAGTTATTGTGTCATTATACATCTTATTTATATACATTATTTGTAAATTTTTTATGAGCCATACATATCCCCCGTCCCTATGGAATATATGGCAAAAATGCAAAGGTTTCAAAAAATTCATTTTTTAATATAAAAAATAAATATTTCAGATTTCTAATATTTTTTTCATAATAGTAGATAGTACAAAATTTTTACTGATATAGTTCGTTTAACAAAAAAAAACATAGTAAATAATACTTAATAAGTTAAGGTGCGGCGTATATATCGGAATATACCCTATGTATACAGGATGAGCTTGATACAAATTTCACGTTTTTTTTTTCAAAAACGGTTAGAGATAGAGGGAAGATACCTAGTATCAAAATTGTAGAATAAATAGAGAGACTTTGACAATCTTGTCAATATTTTTTTAATGGGAAGGGATATTTTTACGTTCTATCGATGGTGCTCAATGAGCTGAATAATTTTGCAGAGTATATTTTCGAAAATTTAACTATTGTCGGGATATAAAATAAAATATGTCAGACTAAAAGTTTTGGAACAAATTTTGTATTATTGCAATAAATGTTCAAAATAATATTCTTGAGGCTTCCACGGGTGCTTTGTATATAAATATTATGCGTTTCGCAGATTTCCTCCGTGTCCAGATCCATTCTTGGAATGCCAACGTAAATCTTGCACTTTACTAATATCGGGCTATTCCTCGCCCTGATAAAGTGAATTGCAAAGTTCATGATTCGAAAGGGTCCCTTTCGAAAGAAACTCTTAAATTACGAAAACCTTTCGGTTTTTTGTTAGAGATTCCACAAAATAGAATAGTCCAATTAACCAAAGATCAATAATTCCTATCCAAACATTAATACTCTATCGGTGTTGATGATCTACATTTCTCATCCAGTATAGGTTGACTTCGTTCCAATAATACAAATTGTGCTTAATGGTTCCATCATTCTTAAATGTTGCTTCATTTGACCACAACACAAGTCGAAAAAAGTTAGGATTTTTGTAATGTATTTTGAGCCCATGTACAGAATTGGATCCTCATGTCAAAATCATTCTGCGAGAGTTTTTGAAGTACTGATGAGGTACCAGTGACCGAACATATACACCTCTATGTCCGGACACTTACACAAAATTTATTA